AGAATTTTTGTGCCAGTGCCTAATTTTGACCTAGCAGGCTGCTCGGAATAGCATTCTTCCTTCAAACTCATTATTTAAAAAAATTCCAGATGCGTAAATCGTTGCTAGCATTACACCAGACGGGGCATGGAGCCGCATTGGTAATCAGTTCAAGTGCGGGAAGTCCGATTGGTATGATCACGGTCACCGATTGCCTTCGGGCAGTTGTTGTTGCCAGTAGCATTGATCCAGCAATTGGCGATCGTTCAATTCGCGATTTTATCAAAGTTTACGGTAAAAAGAAGCTCATCGCTGCAACCATCAATATGTCGTCAGTTTTTCCATAATATGCTTATCCGTCAGAAGATTAAGCTTTGTCTTCAATTTTTGGAATTCTAAAATGTGTTCCGGATAAATATGGTTGATTCGTTGAAAAAAAAAAAAAAAAACTTTTAACATATCTGTCTGTATTGCCAATCGGGAGCAAAAGGTTATTTTTGTTCATCTTTTTTAAAAGTTTTAGGCATCTAACATGTTTTTTACTGGTCTTATTACTTTAAAATTAATGAAAAACACTCTTTGCCTTCAGCAAAATTCAGGATACGTTGCGCGTCCCGGTGAAAACATTTCCTTTGGCTGAAATTCAATATTTTACTCAAATAAGTTGCATGGATTTTGATTGCAAGCTTCTTTCCAGTGTCTGGGATGCGGCTCGTTTGGTGTGTCTGAATCATGTCCATCGCATACCCGTTTTTCAAACCGATGACAATGGCAAGCTGACAGATATTTTGTACACACTCTCGTTGAGGCGGATTTTTCACGAAACCATTATCAAATTAGTTAGTCTTGTATTTTTTTTTTTTGGTTGATTTCCACATTTTCCAGCCAGAGGCTACATATTGAGCTACCAAATGGCACATGTCCTATAACTCGTAATCCAGACATTGTGGAACTGAAAAACACTTATATTTTGTGTACGAACGAAATAGCTTCAGAATTGCTTTGCAGTCATTCTGTTTCACTTTTTCTGTGGAAAAAGGGGAATACTCGGAACTGACCGGGTGGAACCACACTGCTGACAGTAAATCGCCCGCTGACAGGGCTGTCAGTGGCTTCTTCCTTTATTCCTTTTCTGTATTTTTTTAAACATTAAGTAAGTAAATGTTTGCTAAGTGTTTTTTCGATCTTTTCATTTCCTACTCATTTTTCTTGCGCGCGATTTTTAGCAGGTTTTGTTGATTCGCTGACATTTACTGCACATATCGCATTTTGCAACTCTCTAAAAGTTCCCCTCTAAAAACATGTTCTGCCCATTGAATTTTTCTCGCGTTGTCGCATTACACATGGTTGTTATGCGTTTTTTGCAGTTATGCAATGCAAAAAACGCATATTGACGAGAGGTTGTCTGTGTGT